ACTTCCATTGCTTCTTCTTTTGCAGGTGTCCTGGCTGGCCATGACAACCGTGTCAGCTGTTTAGGTGTTACTGATGACGGCATGGCTGTAGCTACAGGGTCTTGGGACAGTTTTCTCAGAATCTGGAATTAACTGGGAGCCAAACATGTACATTCTCCATTTGAGATCTGGAGAGATCAATGCTGCAGCCTATAGCTGTGAAATAACATTTCTACCTTGTATTTGCAGGTGAAGTTTTTCTATTCACTGATTATTACACAAAAAGGCTTTCTGTAAACTAGAAAAAAAAAATCAAGTGAAGAAATAGGGGAGGGGGGAAGAAATCACTGACTTTTTAAAAGGGGCCAGCACACATAATCATGGTGACCGACAAACTAAGAGCCAGTCTTTTTGTTTTTGGTGGTTTGGTTAGATTGTCCTTGAAGGGTTTTTGCTTGTGCTCAGTCTGCTAATCCTGTACTTTTTTTTGTACATAACAGAATATACACATTATAGCAGCCAATCATGTAACATTTGTCTGTATGTAAAGAAATATGTTTGCATTTTTTATGGAACTACATTTATAGCTTTGCTTTTAACCTGAGATGTCACTTCTGAGTTTTGTAGTGGGTGAACTAGATTGCTGTTTTAAATGTTTTTGTGAATTTACTGTAGATAAAGTGAAGCCAATGGTATGTATGTGTTTTTTATAATGGAAGGCATTTGAATTTTTTTTAAAGGCCCTGGAGACTCCCAGTTAATACCTACCGCCTTATTTACTCACTTCTTGACCTGCTTGCCTATTTTTGATCAGGGGGTTCTTCCTTCAAGCCAGTGGTTCCTGGTTCATCCACTGGCAGTCATGACCTCCAAACACCAAGGAGTTAATGCCAGGTAGACTTGTACCAACAGGAGAAATAATTGGAAAATAAAGTAAATCCAGACGTTTTAGCTTCCTCCCTGCAGGTTTTTGCATCAGTTATTCCATGCAGTCTGTGGGTACAGAAGCCAAGTGGCCGAGTGCTGTGGCCAGCTAAGCTCTGGCCAAACGTGTGGGTTTGGCTCCTCACAAGCCCCAGCTGATCTGCACTCACAGTGACTTGGCTGCTGCTCAGAGCCCAGAGCAGTGTGTGCAGAGATTGCTTGTTCCACACCAACTGCAAAATTCAGGAGGACTTTGCTTAAATTCCTAAAGAGGATTTAACTGTGCAGTTAATTGCTCGTAATTCCCCTCCAAATTCAGGGGTTGCCAAAGCACACCACAGCCAAAAGTGCTTGTTGTCAGTTCTGTGCAGTGTGAATTACCAAAGGAATTGTGTAACTTAACTGCAACTGTGTGACCCCTGAAAACTTCCCAGGATAACCTTGAGGATATGTGCTTGTTCCGTGTGCTCACTGAGGGCTGTGCCATGGGGGTTTTGCGATGCTGGATGTTCTGCAGCTCCAACACTGTAAATGGCCATTTCTGCTCCTTTCCTGCTTTGATTCTGATTTTGATGTCAGTTGCTTAGAAATCTCACCAAGTACAGTTCAGTGCAGAGACAGGAAAATCATGTGACTGATGCCCATTTGAAACTGCTCAGGGAGGTTGCTTAACTTTTTGGTGCCTGGCAGCATGTCTGCACTCACAGTGGATGTTCCCTAAGGAATCTGGACATCTGTGGCTATTTTGGAATGGGGGATTAAGTCTATTGGCTTCTCTTAAGTGACTTACTTTAAAGATAAGGTGAATTTTAAATTACCAGGTTGGAAGATACTGTTAGTCATCATTCTTTGGAACTGATGTGAAGTCTGGGTGTCTCTGGGTCAGGTAGGAAAGAGAAGGACCCAGAATCCTGTAGTATATCCAAATGGTTTGCTGGTTGAGATTACTGTTGTCAAGTTTCTGACGTTTTTTAATCCTAAATTTCAGTACTTCCAGACTGTGCCTGTAAACTCACCATGTCTATAATGGTCAAGGTGCCAATAAATGTACGAGTCAATCATGGTAAATTCACTTTTAAAATAAGAAAAAGGCGCTTCTTATACTGGAGAAGGAACATTTCCTAACAGCAGCCTGTGGTGTAGGACCAAAATCCCACTGTATTGTGTCTCACAGGAATTCCTCAGTGTTTTGCTTTGTGATCTGTCTGCATTTATAGAACTATTATGGAATTCTTGTAACTCTCTTAAGTGAGCAGCTCTTTGGGATCTTGCAGACTCAGTTTATTTTTTAGTGGTGCACTTGATTATTTTTTTTAACTCACAGCTGCCTTGAGTGAATCATTCTGGAAATTTGTTACTAAGGAATTTTAAGAAAATATTCTTTTTCTAAAAAAATTCTTTTCCATAGAAGTGTGTTTTGAACCAATTTCCTAGTCAAGACCTTTGCCGAGACAGGTGCCATTTTTACATTCTGGTATTAAAACTGGTTTCTACTTGTGAAACTCCAAAACCAATTTTACAGCTGTATATAACTTTTCTTACCAGTTCAGGTAGCCTGTAACAGTGGTAATGGCTCTTGTACAGGTATTACAGCAAATAATTTCACTGTCATTGTTGGATGGCTGTTGCCTCTTGGATTCAGCTGCTTTTAAAATAAATCCTAAGGAATGCCAACTACTTGCTGAGGTTTCCAGCAGCATCACAGAGCTCTGCCTGCCTCTGCTCCTCGCTCACCCCAGGTCTGAGGGGCTCCGGTGTCAGCACACGAGGCCTGGGAGACGCCTGAGCACAGCGGGGGAATCGGCGTCTGGCACGGCTTTGGAGCCTCTGGAAGCTGTGACAGATCCTGCCCAGGTGATGTTTGCTGTTCCATTCCTGCCCTGCTGTGGGTTGTTTTTCAAGCCTGCAGATTCCAGTACCACAGGTACTGTGTGATGCCACAGAATGACTCAGGCTGTGGCATTCCCTTCTTCCAGTGGCTGGCAGGGACCTCTGGAGGTCGGTGCCCCAGATAAAGCAGAGGTGGCTTTTATGGTAAAAGCTCTTCGTAAAACAAGGAAGGTAATAAAATGACCCTTGATAGGTTTTACCCCAGCTTTGAATTTCAAAGAAACTGGCGTGTGTCTGCAGTTGACGTGGGCCCAGGTGTGCAGCTTGTGTGACTTCTGCCTCTGCACCATGACAGCAAACTTGCTCACAGCAGGTCTTGCAGCATGAGTGGGCACATCTTCACTGGCTTTAAAAGCTTGTAGCCAGACTGCATCCTTAGAATTTCAAATAAGTTGTGTCATTACAGAACTGGAGTAACCAAAAGCATTGTGCCAAACAGTGGCACAGTGACTCTTGCCCAGCCTCTCTTCTAAAGGCAATCTCTTGTGGCTTGGGAAGCAGAACCATGTGCTTGGTGTGGCAAGATTTATTTTATTCTGGTAGAGTTTGTCAGCATTTTCTAATGTGATCTAACTTTCCAATAGGGAGTTCTCCCTTCAGGCAAGTGCCCAGCCTGGGCTTGTTCCCATGTAGCCTTGGATGGCTGTTAATTGGTGGAGAAAGCAGTTTGATATTCTGGAAACACAGAAAGCTGCTGTGGGTTTGTGCTGATGTTTGCCCATGCACTTCAGTGATGCGGCCTGGTTTAATCTGTCTGCAGCCCTTCTCCTTCCAAACACTGCTGTGCTCTGCTGGGCCGAGCTGCAGATCCATGGCAGTGCTGGCAGAGCCGACAGCTCCGTGGATTGACAGGATTTGTACCACTCCAAAGGGAACATGCATTAAAGAGGCTTTTCCTGCCCCAGGACAGGGCCTGACCTTCCCTGGCAAAGCTGAACTGGAGCAGCAGCAGCTCTCAGTGTGTCCTTACTGTACTGCATGGGGTGGAAGTAGTTGACTCCTTCTTCAGCTGTGTAACCGCTCATCCCTTGATGAAGTTCCCATTAATTACTTTACGATGGAATGAAAACATTGTGAAAACATTCCCAAAGTTGTAGTCTGTCCTCTCTGGGGACAGTGTCACCTCCACTAGGTTTAGTGCTGTGCTTTAAGATGTTGGTGAGAGTTTTGGCTAATTGGACTAGTTGGTATCAATGGTTGTGTAGCAGAATGGCTGGTTTTGAGATAGCATTTCCTGTCCAAGTACTTAGCATGGGTTGATGGTGCACTGTGTATCCAGTACTCTGGCATGCATGCTGGTCACACTCCTCCTACACTTCAGAGGCACCAGAGCCTTTTATCCAATTGCTGGTTATGTAAAATACATGCAGAATGTTAATGCAGTGTTGTTATGGTAAATGTGTGAACAGTGTTACTAATTGATATAAATGATAACAGATTACATGTGCCTGACATTCTTATACCACACAGTATGTTTAGGTTTTAACTAATATGGACTTCAGTGGAATAGTCTTAGGTATTTCAAACCTTTGTTTTACTTACACAATGGTGCTCTCTTTGTGTTTTTCTTTTTTTTTTTTTTTTTTTAAATAAAAGCATCTGAACACTTGTAGTACATATTACATCCAAAGGAGTCCAAAGCAAAGTGTTTCTAAACCTGCTTAATTTTTAATTTTACTTTGCCTTTAGTTCCCAGCATCTCTCATCAGCTTGTTTTGTTTTGTTTTTAGTTGTTGCTGACTACTTTGGAAAACTTTGGTAATGTTACCAATTATGAAGTGATTCTGCACTGCCTTTGGATTATGTATGTATTCAGAAACAGTCTTAAAGCTTTTATTTAAGCTATTAAAAAACCAGGGACTTGTGCCATTTGTTCTTTTAACAGTGCTGTTGTAAAAAGACTTCCCTGTGACAAAAAAAAATCACTTGCTATGAACTTTGTTTATAGCTTTTTTTTTCCACGATGGATCTTTTTCTTTGTATTTGTACAGTGGCTCAGTGAAAGATGTTGCCATGAGTTGATATTGTAACCAATAAACAAGTGCTTTTAACCAGCCTGGCTCAGCTGTCAGTGTTGTATTAGAGCAGCCCCTGGGCCGGGGATGGAGCAGCCACACAGCAGCAGCTGGGACCTGGATCTGCATTACCCGTGGGAGTGATGTGCAGGCCTCCACCTGGGACAGAGCTGCCAAAGAACTTAGCAGAGCAAAGGGGTAGACGTTTTTTAATAAATAAGTGTAAAACACATGCATTGAAAGTTTTATCTTGATACATTGTCAATACAAATGCTCCACAAACAGAGCACTGATTCACAGCTGTGCCCTCACCAACACCAAGGCTGAGCTGTTTCTCAGGCGTGGATGCCACACTTTCCCTCAGACCAACAGGACTCCACAGTTAGAAGAAACACCTGAACACACTGGTGGAACTGCTGTCTTCCTTTAACACCTCTAGCATTACATCTTACATCTATTCCCTGATGAGACAGCCCTTAATTACTTGAAAATAGCAAACTCCTATACCTTAGAGCTCAATCTTTAACTCAGTCAGTATTAACACTGCCATAAAAATATATACTCTGGAAAGGCCTCTCTTAAAATAATTTTAAAAAGTCTAGTTAGAAAAAAGTAGATGTTGAATGACTGCAGGCAGCAACAGAAGGCTTTTAAAGAGGTTTTGCTGGAGGTGAGCAAAGGTCAAGGACTCCAGCACAGCTGCCTGGAGTCTGACCTAGAGGAGACCTGTCCTACAGCAGAGGCGGGGCAGGGAGTTTCACCGTGTCCTGCTCCCTGAGTGCAGCAACAGGAGCTCCAGGTCCCTCCTGGCACCCTGAGCCCCTTCTCAACCTGAACCAGTTGTGCCCAGACCCTGCTGTGCCTGGCTCTAGCCATGTGCTCACAAGCAAAGCACCACTTCACTGCTCTACCAACTGCAAGAAACAGGTTCACTTTTATGTCATCGGTGCCCTCTTGGCTCAAGGATGTAGCCAGAGGAACCTTGAGCCCACTGCATTGCCTTACTGCAGTTCACCCTCATCTCTGCTCTGTTTTGTACTTCACTAAACAAAATCACACCCACATGGAAAACCAGCACCCTCCATACCTGGACGCTTCCTAAGCAGCTGAAAGCAGGAGACTGGGCTAAGCTCTTTCCCTGTGTAAGGTCCTGGATGCCAGGAAGTGAGACTTGCCACTGCTACATACTCATGAAAACCAGTGAGAATTTGGAGTTTTATTGTCAAGTGCCCAAAAAATTTAGTGTTTAAAGGTAATTTTTAACCCAAAATCTGCAAAATGAACGTAACACTCAAGAGTACCACAGCTCTTCCATTTGGTTCACCATCAAAGTCCAAGTTTTACAACTGTCATCACAGTAACATTAAAAATATAAATCATTTTTATAGAAGTGTCACCTGTAAAATTTCTACTTTGCCCGACAAAGGAGCACCGGGAAGGTTCACAATGATGTTTTATTTACTCTTCTGAAGAAAATGTTTTGTGAAGCGATCTAGTTCGTTCTCAAGGTGAATGGCTTTATTTCTGTAAAACAAACAAAACCAAGGGATTTACTTCAGTGCCCAAACATCCCGAAGGCAGGATCAATATCAGTGTTTCATTTCTGTTTGTCTACCCACATCCCCAGCACTAAGAAAACATAAATGCAGGTTTATAGAAAGGGTGTGGGGGCAGATGTTCACCTTCAGTGGTGGTGGATACCCGAGGCCAGGAGGCAGCAGCCCAGAGCCAGGGCAGCCTTTCAGCAGGTGCAAAGAACAGGAAAATACAGCCAGGGCTGCTTCCAAGTCCCTGAACCACCAACTGCTGGAAGTACCTCCTCTGCAAACACCCACCACTGGCACCACCAGTACGGCACTGGATGACTCAAAACAGCACAGCTGCTCCTGCTCTGCTCTGGGGAGGGGGCTTTGGGAAAGTGCCACCCTCAAGTTACCAACACGAGACTAAAATTCTGGTGAAACGCCTGTCTCCCACACTAAAGAGAGACAAGAGTAAAGATGATCTAAGAAATAATATTTTTGGAGATTAGCTGATTCACTGATGCAGCAGCATACATTTATTTAACTTACCCAGAGCTGTTCAGGATATCTTTGCATCTCCTGCACCTGAGCTAACCTAGTTCAACTCCAGAGTAACAGCAAGCACTGATCACTCTGAAGTGAGCAGGGCTAAGAGATGCTTGTGGCCGGTCACACCAAGACTTACCTCAGCTGCTTGGAGATGCTTTGTATGTTCTCCAGCTGATCTATTTCTTTGGAAAGCCTAGCTATTTCTTTTTCCAGGTTTTTCTCTGTAATATCCACCTGCTGACAGAGCCGAGCAAAAGTAGTGGCCATTTCCCTAAAGCAAGAACAAGTTTATAATCATGATTTACAGAAGTCTATGCAAAAAAAAAAAAAAAAAAAAGAAATAAATAAAAACTCATGGCATTGCAGTATGCAGAACACAGCAATCAAATCCTCCAGCTGTTAAGGGAGTACAGAATAGCAGAAAGCAGGAGAACTGGGTACTTTTTAAATTAGAAAAAAAACTCTCAACACACCAAATGTACCTCAGTCTACACCTACATCGTGCCTGGCCATTTTCATAGAACATTAACAGGTTCAGGTCTGAGATGGGGCTCTGGCTGTGACAGGAGGTGCCAGAGCAGCCCCACACCACCAAGCTCAGTGCCCTGTGCCACACTCAGTGCCCTGCTCACAGGAACATGAGGCCTGTGCAGGGTGAGGAGCACTCCAGACCTGCCCACCCCAACCTGTTCCAAGAATCCTCCTCTAACAAAGGGAAAACAAACCCAGTTACCAGCCTGGGCCCAGCACCCAAGCTCTCAGGCAGGAGATGAAGCATCCTCTCCTCTCTACTGGAGCACTGGTTTGAGTGCAGCTCTTCCATGTCCTCACAGAGCTGCTGGACACAGGGATGGATCTATTTCCTCTACTGAAGCTTAACTTTTCACTTCCATTTTTTTTTTTGTTTTCTCTTTCCAAAACACTTTCCCACCCGTCTCTGCTAAGTAATGTCTGCCTGTCTTCCTTAGCTGCTTCTTGTAAGTATGTGTTTTGACTGAATTATTATTTCAGAAAATTAGGGCTGCTAATGTGCCCTCTAGCCCGCAGGGTGCAGAACACCTCTCCTGTGTAGCTCAGGGAATAGCTCAGAAAGGCCAGCCAAGTTCATCTCCTGCAGTGCAGAAGAGCCAGGATTGGCTGCTCAGAACTTGCCCATAGCAGCCCCTGGGGCAGAAGCTGTGCTCATCCTTCCAAGGACTCCAAGGATAGAGCAACTTAGCCTCCACTAGCATGATCTCTCATGTGTCTACTGTAAGGTGCTGGTCAAAGAGTCACCATCTTCAGAGCACCACACACAGCCACACAGATGCAGGTGGGCATTTTAAACTCTCTTCAAACCCCCGCCCACTAAGTGCCAAGGGACACTAGAGGTGCCATCACGCAGGGCCAGTGACAATGGCCTGTGGCCAGCCCGTGGGACACTTACTGCTGCACCTGGTGGCTGCAGTTGGCACTGGTGAGGCTGACGATCATCTGCAGCTTCTCGGTGGCGTAGTTCACAAACTGCTGCTTGAAGGCTCTCTCCTTGGCCCGAGTGGTCCAGGTCAGCCTCTCATACAGGTACAGCAGCCCGTACATGCTCAGGGACAAGGAGATCACTTTCCAGCCTATGGTTTTCCAGATCTGAAAAATAAAATCTTCATTAATTTAGATAAGTCGCCCTACAGAATAAAAGCCAATTCCACCCATATTTTAAAAATCATCTCCATAGCCCTTTCACTGGACTTGTTTAAGAAAACAAATGTTTTCCATATTATTACTGCAGAGCAATACAAGTACATTCACATGAGCTGGTCTCCAGTGGCACAGAGAATGTGCAGGTTACAGAAGCTTGCTGCTCTTTCATGAAGGAAGAAGCAAAACTCCAACTAAATTCAAACTGAAGGAGGTACCATCAGATCACCATTTAATTCAGGCATTGAACACAGACTTATGGGACAGAGAATACACCCAGCTATCCTCAGAGGGATTAGCCTGGTTTCTCGCTACGAACTGACTGTGGGTATCCAGGGCACTGCTCGTGCTCATCTGGCCCAGTGTCAAGTCCATGGCACGCTCTGTGTTACACCCCAGGCAGGACAGAGCAGCTCAGCCCCTGCCACCCCTTCCTGCAGGAAATGCTGCCAGTGCTACTTGCCACTCCACCAACAACGATGATGCTCATGGAGGTCCGGGATGTCAGCGAGGCTAAATTCAGCACCAGAGGAACCATGAACTCATCCTGGGGCACGCTCTCGGGAGTTATGGTGGGAAGGCTGGCGGCAGACGGGGTGCTGGCTAAAGGACGAGGGATCTAGAAGATGGGAACATGGCAGCCTGAGTCAAAAGCACCAGGGAACTACACAGAGTGGTTTTATTTTCATATATTCAGGTTCTGATTTACTTGAAGGAAACCCTTCAGCAGTGAAATCTGAACAAGACTCCTGAGGAGCCATGGAGGCTTTGACAGTTCCCCCAACAGAGAATAAGGGTCTGTGTAGGGCTGGTTCAGACCTCAGGATCCAAATGTTACAAATGGAATAGGCTACTCAAAGGGTTCAATCCAAACGAAAACCAACTTGTGTAACAGCTGCAGAAAGTTTAAGAGGTTTTCAGTTCCATTCTAACCCTGAATATAATCAAATAAAAACAACCCACACCAAAAATATTGCACACAATGGATCTAGGAAAAGGTAGCAGGAAGTGTATAAATAGCACTGGCACAGAGTAAAAATCAATATATTCTCATCAAGGTAAAACAAACCAGCCCAAGCTCTGAAGGACTCACATTTAGGGTTGGATCTGCTAATCCCAGAAGTACTTTCTGAGCTTGTTTAGGACCCAAGAAACGGTTTACAAGAGAAGTCCATCCCAAAGAAAAGTGGAACATGATATCCTCTTGAAAATCTGCACACAGGCTATGACAGTTTAGATCATAGCTAAGATCAAACTTCCTGCATGGAATTAGCAAGTGGAGCTGATCCTGAACACTAGAAGGCAACAATGGTTTCAGATTTTCTAGAAATAAGAACAAACAGTAAAGATGAGTTAACATTACAAGAAGAGCATATTCACCAGCAGTACCTCTACACTGCTGACCAGCTTTGTCAATTCATAGGATCTAAACGGATCTGTTGATTATTTATTTGTAAAATCAGTGGCATTTCAGCAAGATTACCCAAACAGAGCAAGGAATATATTGCTCTGATACAAAAAAACAGTCATGAAAATCAGCTCACCAAGGAAACACTGCTGGAAAAAAAAAGATTCAAATTAACTGGAAGATGTCTACCAGTGGTCAAAAGATAGGGATGGAGTAAGAAAAAAAAAAATCTATTTACCCATCAGTTCCATCATGCCACACAGAAAAGGCAACATTATTAGATAAGAGGACAGAAAGGTTCACATAATTTCATAATCTTCCTCTGAATCGTTTATTACCAGATCAATAGAGATGGATGTGCAATAAAGTTACTACTTATAAAGAAAAACAAAAAGGGGAGTGCACAAATCCTTTATGAAATGAACTGTTTTGCTTTCTGGGTCTGGAAGAACATAGGGAGAACATTATACTGCAGGAACATTTTCTAATAATTAGTATATTTGGTGCGCCTCCCGTTGAAGCCAAATTTTATATGAGTTTATAAAAGGATTAGATGAGTTTCCAAAGAACAGGCCCATTACTACTTGCTTAAGCCATTAATCCAGATGCAGTATACCAGCTCAGAAGTCCATAAAATGGAGAGGGATTGCTACATTTACCCTAGTTCATTATTCTTCTCCTTCAGCATCTGTTACTGGTTAGTACCAGAAACAGAGGACTGAGCTAAACACTCAGTCCTGGTCTATCATGGCTTTTCCTTTGTAGCATCAATGTTAAGCATGATCAGAAGGAAAATTCTTTTAAAACTGAATTTTTTTAGATTGTCTTCCTTTAAATGTGAAGTGTTACCATTCCTCCTCCCTCCTCCTACCAATCATCTCCTGCTGGGACTGGTGCATTGACTGGTTGACTTCAGTGGAGCAGCGTTCAGCCAGGTTCTTTCCCAAACCGTCTTCTATATGTTTGTTCAGTTCCTGAAGTGTTACAAAGAAATCAAGCTCATCAGTTTGTATTTGGCCATTCAGTTACATTACATGGAGCAGGAATATGTTACACACTAAGCAGGTTATATACAGTGGGAAGAAATGCATGTTTCCATGGAAATACCATGTTTTCCAACTGCACACTGGGACTGAAACCTAATTGAAGTGACACAAGAAAGATTTCCCTGGAACTGTAAACATTAAAAGGCACAGAAGTCTGCACTGTGACAGTGAAAAGCAAACCACCACCTACTGCCCTGCAACACCTTTACTGTGTCATCTGATGAGAGCCAATTCCACTGCTCTGCACAGGGACAAACCCATCCCATCAACTCCCATGGGGACCTGCTCAGGATGCTCTGCTGAGGTGAACCAGCACAGACTGTCCTGAAAATGCAGCACTCCCAGGTGATCAGCCTGGAACAGCCTGAGATGAGCTCAGCATGGTGCTATTAACACCAAAGTTGTGGGTTTGATCCCCATAAGAGCCATTTGTATGAGAGTTGGACTCTGTGATTCTTGTGGGTCCCTTCCAACTCAGAACACTCTGTGACACCAGGGGGGGTGCTATGGCAGTCAGCATTATCAGCAAAGTCTGAACACAAGAGGCAAACACAGAGGCTTTAATTTAAAGCACTAAATTTGAGGAGGAATTTATAAAATTTAAAAATCCCAAACCAGTTTTTATGAGAAATGTTGAGTATTTGCAAGCTCATTTATTTTTGGATTAATTTCATCTTAGGAGTAGTGAAAATTATTTATGCAAAATCCTATTTGCTGGAAGTGAAGACTTGAAATTAGGAACCACTGTACTACTAAAAAGATGTTGAAAAAAATTAATTTATTTCCAAAAACAAAGCAGTAAGTATTTTCAACCTTTTTCAGTTTTGGGTAGAGTTATGCACACGTCAGCAAACAAAAATCCTGCAATGCTTGAAGTCACAAAAAATCTATGCAATTTATGAAAATACTTAAGTAGAAATTAAGGGAAAGACAAAGAGCCTGGCTTCAAACCATTCAAAAAAACTTACTGTCTTATAGAGCTTCAATACTTGAGGAGAAGGGTGAAAATCAGAATAAAATTCATCAACTAAGACTGAAAGCCGGCAAATCTCATCAGTCATAGCAGCGGAGACCTGGAAGAACACAGGAAACACATAAAATGTTTCTCCTGCCTTTTCCAGACAGAGTGAGAACAGACTACTGCACGAACTGTCCCAAGAAATCACTGAAACTCCTGACAGGAAAGATTGACATTTTAAGCTTTTGTTCTTTTTTTAATTGAAAAAGGATCATTCTGACATTTCAAACACATTTCCCGAGATGGGTGGGCTGCAAAAGGAGCTGCCTGAGAGAGAAGGCAACACCTGGATCTGAGAAGTTGTTCCCACTGCCTTTACTTACTTTGTTTTCCACTTCCTCAGTAACACGTTTGATTTTTTCCTTGATGTCTTCTGTCAAAATGTTCAGCTGATTTCTAACAAAGTCCAGCCTGTCCTTCTGATCTTCTCGCTCTTCCATGGAATGGACTCTAACCCAGCAGAAAGGAAATCACCATCACCACCATGTATTCCCCCAGGAAAGAAACAAGCCCTTAGCCAGGCCTGGATAATCCAGCTGATGTTTCTGAGCAGCCAGGGGAAATCACAGGTAACACTGGCTGCCCAAAGCAGAGGCACTGCTCCCACAAGGGCTGTACATGGCAGTTCCATGTGCATGAGCATTCAAAGGCTGTGCTGAGCAAACACAACTCAAAACCAGCATTTTGAGTCAGAATTGTTATCACTGTATTGTCACATAATTACAACTAAAAAAGGTGTGGGGAATCAGAGGCCTTTAATAACTCATCTACCCTGATTTTAAAAAACGGTTAAAACTGCTGCTCACAAACAGCACTCAACAATTCCTTAACAGTGACGTGGGTCTGATGACCCTGCAAAGCAAAGGGGACGTGGCAGAAACCAACCTTGTCACAAACAAGTCTCTTTAGAATTCCTTAACCTATCACTTAAGCAAAAATTCCTGAAAATCTGGAGCAATTTGCTCTTGAAGGGCCAGCAGAAACAACAAACAGCAATTCAGACTAAGAGGCATCACCACACACATTTTGGTTAAGTCAATTGATAGAAAGAAGCAGAATATCAGAATATTTTCAAACATTTCACTGCATGTTTTCATGGGATCTGACAATGTGAGACAAGTCAGTATGTAAACAGGCAGTCTGTAAAAACTGACATATTCAGGGGGATGAGTGTTTGACAGCACAGTGCAGTCTGCTGAAACACAAAGACACATTATTGACAGGCAAGAAGGAGATGGATGGGAAGGACTAATCGTGACAGCAAGTTCACTGTGTACAAGAGACACAAGGTGGCAACAAAAGTGAGGAAAAACTGTACACATATGCAAACCTCAAAGGATACATGAAGCTACCAGACAGAACAGATGAGCTGCTATCATTAGCACTAAAGGATTACATGAGTGAAAAGAGAATAAGGATATTTAAGGATCCAATCTGGAAAGGGCCAGACGCCAAGCCTCTGTTAGCCTGGGCTCATCTCATTCCTTACAGTATTCTAATCACTTGCAAATTAAAGCATCTACATAGTTCCATTTTTCTTCTTCCCTGTAACTGTTAATTAAATTTAAATTTTTAAGTAGGCTCAAATATCATCTCTGAAATGCTGGATATTACTAGAAAAACTTCACATTTTAAATACTTCTGAAAAAAAGGTTTGAAAACACACAGATTGCAAATCAGTAATAAAGAACACCAAAGCAAACCCTGTACACCAAAGATCCCTGTACAGAAATCACAGACCAAGAACAGCACTGAGTGGGCAAGTGAACAATTGTAAGACTGACATATTCACATACAAGAGAAATTGTCTGTTTCTTACCAAGCAGAAAAAGTGAACTTTAAAGTCCATAAAGTCCGGGAAAATCACCAGCCCAGAAATGGCTCCTCAGATGATCTGGACAAACCAAATCCAACCAGCCCTCCACCCCACCTACCTTTTCTCTGCTGCTGCAACGTTTATGTTGTCCATAATGTTTTTCACAGTATCTATTATCTGTTTAGCTCTGATAGTGTGCTGTTCAAACTTGGTTTTCACGGCTGACTGCGAGATACACTCCTGCGAGGGGCCCAAGCCACAACACATTACTGCAATTCCATGCCAACACCATCAGGAATTTCACTGTCAGAAAGCATATGCTGCCAACTTTACTATGAACTTAAGCCAGTGGGAAGTAAAAAGGGAGAAAGTATAAAGAAATTAAAAGACAACAGAAACTGAAATCTCAAATGAATCTATAGCAGCAAATCTGCCTTCATGTTCATTCACAGTAATGTGCATAGGTTTTCATTCTTTTAAAATAAATTAATAATGTAAAAAAAAAAAAAAGAAACTCAGATGAATACATAAGATAAATCTATCTCTTCAGGAAATTTTCAAAACCATCTGTCTGGAACTACAAATGTCAATTATGAATGCTAGCAATATGGCCTGGCTTGAGTTTTATTTAGACTACACAGTCTTACTTTCAAGAGACAATTCTGTCAATAGAATTTGACATTCTCATGTCAATACTGACCATCCAGGAACAAAATATACAATTAGGAATAAGAAACAAGGGTTTTCTCATGGGATAAACACAATTTAAGTAGTCCTTAAAATATCAGCTTGTTTGCATATTATTGAAGTGTTAAATGAGTAAGCAGAAAATGCTCTAATTATACAATTTCTAATCAATCTTCAATACTGAACAGCAATTCAGAAATACAGGACAGTGACTGAAGAACTCTTGTCTTTGAGCTGACTTCCTTAAACTAGATCCATGGGATTTTAGAATTGTTCTCTATCTGTGGATTCACCTTTCATGGCACAGGTTTGGATTACTTTTAGAGGACTTGCCTATGACCTTAGCATATGCTGTAATTACAAATTTCAGCTATCTAAAAATAATAGATGAAAACAAAATAAACAAAATGGGTAAAACAGTCCCTGTTCCTCGATGAAGCAGATCTAGAAATCAGCAATGAAAGGCCAGAGTTTCTTAAATATCAGCACATTGTAAGAGCTAGACTAGGCACAGAGCAGAGTCTTCCCAATGTTAGTATGTGGTAGATAAAAGGATGACAATCACTCACAACACAATCAGAAAATCCAAGTTAGAGCACTAGGAAAAACACAAAGGTTAGTTAAACAATGGGGAAAGATAAGAGGGGGACAGCAGCAGTTTTGCTGTTAGTCTGTACATAAGTATTTACTGAAACCAAGATGTTTCAACAGTCTAACCACAAGCAGTTACCTTCCAGCCCACTGCCAGAATCACAGCACAGTCATAAGTGCCAGTGTGTTCTGTATTCCATCCCTGGGCAGAGCTGGGGAAGGGCTCTGCAGCAGCTGCCTCCTTCCAGCTCTGCCAGCCAGGAGTACTCCTCCACCCCACCTCCCTCCTCCAGTGCTCCCCACAGCACTTCTGCTGCCAGTACTTCTCAGAAATTTGAGCAGCACACCAACCTAAGGCTTGGTGGGGTTGGTTTTATGTAGGATATCCTCTAGTGCAGGCTCCAGGCATTTCTCTGCTGTTTTAATAAGGCATTCAATGCACCTCAGTGTAAAATTGCAGGAAAGACACTGACCACTTTCTATTATTCCCCAATATAAAAATCCACCACTGATCCAAGAATTTAATACTTTAAAACTGCCTCTCTCCTTTCCTTTGCTGCAATACAGCACAGCTGACATAGTAGCATTACATTCTAAAGCTACTACAAGAATCTCTAAAATCCCAATTTCCCACTGCTTAAAAGTGTTTCTAGTAATGCCTGCACCAGTTGTTTTTTTAGCAATTTCAACCACCCTGTGCTTTGCAGACAAACATGTTTCATCTAGTTTCAGAATGATTTTTGCCCTCACACAAAAATCTAAATAAATCTTACAAGCCTTTCTAAATTAGTCCAAGTTTTTCTCATATCACAACTAACTAGCACTGGTGGGTTGTTTCTAGAATTTTTTTTTAAAGATTCTATCTATACTGAGCTCATATCAGTCCTGGAATGAACAGGCTTTCCCATCAGGGAAGTGATACTAAAATCAGGAATGTGGAAGTACTGGAGAAGTAACAGTTCCTCTTCTCAGCCCATATGGAGAAGAGGGAAAAGCTGTCCAATTTAAGTGATGACAAAAGCAGGGTGAGAGAATCCAGGAGGAGCAAACCCAGCAGGTAACAGCCAGGGAGAACAAGGCACATGTGGACAGGTCTGTGAGGTGACAGATTACTGGGAGATGTGAGTTGGACAGAAAAGTCAGAGATGTCTGGGAAGTCAGAGGAGGGCACAGGACAAGGAGCTAAAGGCAAGACAGACTGAGGCAGAGGAGGAATCAGTGTTTGATGAGGACAGACAGAAGCATCTGTGCTCTCATCCCTTCCTTTTCACACACTGGAATGTAACCCCAGATGCTGGGATTTGCAGCTCCCCTGTCAGGAAACAAGAGTAAATGCAAAGTGCTCTAGGTAGAACTGCTTAGGCTGTACTCAGGGCTGCAAAGCATCTGAGTTTGGTCTGGCAGTGCACAAGGCACAGTGTATCAGCAAGCGTTTCACACAGAAAGTTCTCCCTGCAGCCTGAGATGCCTCATTAATACAGAGCCTAGAGCTAGCAGGCAGAACTGATGACAGCAGTATGCTGATGTCAGCTACTTTATCCACTCAGGTGACAGAAATTTGAGTATTAGGTCTGAAAACTTCAGACCTGGTAAACCATTTCAGTCTCAGCCTCGCTTTAAAAGCACATGAACTGCCACTGTAACTTAGAAAAGTGCCACAAAACCTGAATGTGAAGGAGGCTGCAACAGCAAGCACTCAAAATTTAAATTGCTTTGGCAACCTTAATTCAGCACAGCTGTCATTCTCTAAATGATGGGATCACACCCCTAGTTAAAGCCATAAATAATGATTTTAGGACGAAAGACAGATGAGCAGGGTAAAACACTACAGAATCCACTCTCATTGCTGGAGTCAGGTTGTGCAGCAAATGTAACACATTGGGAAAAAAGAAAAAAGGTTGATTTAAGGCCATGCAGTGCTGTTCCTTGTCCCAGCCTCTGCCACAGAAACTTGTCATGGTTGTGATCCTGTGACAGATACTTCTCATTGTGGTGACCAGCTTGAGTCTGTGACATCTGATTTACAGATGTGCTGGGCACTGACAGCATCACATCATTCAATAAGTCATCATCCATCCTCATATTGAAATATTCTAAGCATTGAGTGCTCAACTGTAATTATAAGAGATTTTGTCAAAAAAGCTTTGGGTACAGCAGATGGAAAAATACAATAAAACACTACAACTGATTTAGAAGCTCAATTTCCACTATGGTTCTGAGGACAAAAATTGCAAACAACATGCGTATTTGACTACAGCTAGTGACACAAGAAATGTCATGTCTCATGGAGCCAGGCCCTGCCAGTACCCTGAATCCATCATTTCAACACTTCAGTCACCTATCACAAGTGTGGATAAGGATTAAATTTAGTCTGACATTTTCTTGCTTATGCAAGACCGAATCAAGCTATTAACTTGAAGTCTTTCTCATATACACACATCATTACATAATTTAGCTTTACTAAGGTTAAATGGGTTTGCTGTAATGCAAGAACAAAGACTTTTCAGAGGCAGATTGATTTTTTTTAAATACTCATATACAAAGCCATTCCTTAAGATATCCAATAATGGCTTTAGTTAATTAAAGTTATCATATTACCAAGTCACATGGATCCTATCACAAAGAAACCACTCAACTGTCTAGCCAGACCTACTTCTGTAGAAACTGTGAACTCCAACTATAAATACGGCTAAACCAAGGTAGAAGGGTGGATTCTGTACAGCACAAAGGATGCAAGGAAATTGTTAATGATCAGAGCAACAGAGATAAGAGGTACATAATGGTGATAGATTCAAAACTCTGGCTTTAGAAATGAAAGTAGATTTTTAGATTTACATGGATGAAACGAAATTTCTTACTGCGATCATTCACCAGCACGTGGCTGTAAGTGATACACATGTTTCAAGACCATAATTTCTTCTTATATAGACTATACTGGTCTTGAGACCTCAAAACATGAGCTAAGAGTTTTGGTCCCTTCCCTCACTGATATAATTCTCCTTTCCAAAAACTGTCTGCTACTCAAGGTGAGAAGGTATGATAGAACTCACAGAAAAGGCAAAGCTGCAGATGGTTTAAATACCTTACACTCCTCCACTTGCTAATATGGGTAATGCTCAGTATAATTAAGCTAAGCATAAGAAAAAGCTACCTTTACAACAACAAACAGGGAGTTTAAAAAGCCCATCATAAATACCTCAAATATCTGCTCAAAATGTTGAAATTCCTGGAATCTTGTTTGAAATCCTTCAGCAAGTGCTCCACCTGTGAAACAACACACTATCAGGGACACAGCAGTACCTCACAGCAGAGACTGTGTCTTAAATGTATTTATCAACTCTTATTGTGGTTTTCTGTATTTGAGGAAAAGCAGGAGTTGCTACACACCATCCTCTGGCATTCCTTGGGCCTTTTGTCTCCTGGCACTCAGAACTTCTTTTGCTGAAACAAAAAAGATGCGATTCCTTGCTTCTACAGGATCAATAACTTTGAGCTCATCGACCAGGAAAGTCAGACAGCGCTCCATGTGCTGCCTACGCACCTAAGGAAAAGGCAAAAAGCTCATCAAAAGAAGGCAAAAAGAGAGCTGTGAGCACATCACAACATCAGAGTCAGAAACAGATGCTGAACCACCCTCTGAGAGCAGATGCCTGCCAGCCCTACAGAAGCAGCAGCTTCTCTTACTCCTTTAAAAAGACCTGGACACAGCAATACTTCCTTCTACAAGTGTATTTATGTAACTCAGAGAGCTCAGCCAGTTACTGGGGTAAACCCTTCATTCCCCATACATGGAGAAATAATTCTTACTGCAAGCTGGCTGCTGCTGGCCAGATCTGAAGATCCAAACTGTTCACATCTAACGCTGCACTTTCCCAGCTACTCTATGGAGATATAAATGTATAAACTGCGCCCTCAGGCTGCACCATCACTGCAGAAACAAAAGGTAATATAAATAAGATTAAAAACAAGCTTAACTGTGGAGGAAAAAGGATCTAAAGAAGTCTCCCATTTTATTACTTGCATATATTGTCATTGGAATTGCAAGTTGGTTTTTGGTTGGAATGAGCAATAGGTTATTTCCATTTTCTGACCATGTAACTTAGCCTCTTATTAAAAAGACAAAGCTGGTATTTCCATATTAATACGTATTAATTAACTGTCAACCCATGTAAGAGCCATCAGTTCACTCACATCTTCCATGTATTCTGGTTCTGATGCAGAGGCATCCCATCTATTATTGAGGATGAAGATGTTTGGCTTGGAAAGTCGTTCGTTCACTTTATGGAAAAAATGTTTCTCCTAAGAATTAAAGCACAAACAGAAAATTTCCCAGGCATCCAAACCAGAGTAATGCTTTCTTCTGTAATAGATTCTGAAGTTTATCCAGCTTTTTGAAAGTTTATTATAAAGAATTCATCAGTATTAAAAACCCACAGATATTCAGTACATAACAGCCTTAGGGTAGTTCAAAAGTCATCAAATGTCTTAAACCTGATGCTAGTGCTAGTCAAAGACACTGCAACTTTCTCTAAAACTTGCTAAAAATACAAACTAAGAAAACTTCCAAAAACTAGTTCAAAATATACTGATGCCTGACTTAAAAAATGAAGTCTCCCTTACCTGAACTATCAAGATGCTCCTGCTAACCCTGTCAAATCTGGTTCTATATCCAGATAATACATCATCTAAACTATTCTTCAGCTAGGCAACATCAGCTTGAGCTACAGAAATAACATTTCCTGCATGAGGACGTATAGTTGAGACACAGAAAAAGAAGTCATTGACGAATGCCTTAATTTAACAAAATTAAGTGTATTTAGGTCTCTTGTCTGCACCTACCACCCATTATTGCTGTTAACAGAGTCATAATGGGTAAGTCGTGATGCAGTGAGTCCCCACTCAGCAAAGCTGAAACAGAAGAGATCTCTGGGCTGCCATAAACTTTTCCAGACTGCAGCAAGACACCACAACATATCCTGGTCACAGCACTGGAGAGCCATTATTCTTCCTCAGCTGGGAATAAGCATGTGCAATCCAGATCACTGCTGCAGAAATCAGAACTTTGTCTGAAAGAATTTATGAGGGAACAGTAGAAGAATCACTTTTTCACTACAAAAATCTCTGGTAGTGTGGCAGAACAATGCCAAGTATTCTCAAACCTGTTATGGTAAGAGGCAAAAACAATGCTTAAGGAGGATGAGAACTTTTTAGTGGTCAAAAGCTTAATCTGCATCAATATAGCAGTGAGATGTTCACTGAAATAACTTTTCTTTTTCATTTAATTAAAATATCCCAGCAACTGTGTTATATGCATAATGTAAACAACTTACTAAAAGCCTAAAGGTGTCACTCATGTGCATAACAGAGACAATAGGACCACAGTGGTGCCAAATCCTCTTTGTCTGGAATGTTTTAAGAATTTTCTTTTTCTTCTAAATTACATCCCTTGTAACTCTTTGTGGCCTCAGCTCAGAAGATGGAATGCAATGTTTTTAAACTTGCATCCTTCTCAGACTTCTACCAAACTATTCTAATTTGCTAGAATGCAAAGAAATACTGTCTTTGCACACTCAGTTCTTTATTGTATTAAAAACTGTCTCAACAGTCAGAAAGTTCAGACCTTTCAGGTCAGCACCATGCTTAGAACAACCAGAGCATATTATTTGTCTGCAGTAGGCTTAAAAAAAATCATCAGGAATTTCCTCAGTAGCCTTACTCTGCATTCTGGCAGTCACACTTGCAATAACTTGGAAACCTTTTATTGTCAGCATCCACAATACTTAGTTTAGTCAAAACGGGAAATCACTACAAAAATTATACCAAATTTCTGGTCTTGTATTTTGATTATTGCAACAGCTGCTTTGGCCACCTTAAATGTTCCCCTCCTCTTACAAATCCTACAATACTCAGGCTGCAAGGCTCAGAGAACTCTTCTCTCTCCTGAAACAAGGCTTTATAGAACAAAGACATTAAAATATCTTCAGCTCTCCACACTGCACAGAGCCCTTATTGCTAACACCTTCTTCAGAAGAAACACAGCCCACTGAGGGGCACCTGCAGCACTCATCCTCAACACAAGGTGTGCCAAGGGAATGCACCCTCTCCTGAGAGAGGAACAAGATGGGAACTCAACTCCTTTCACTTCATTCGTGTATTTTACTGAATTTATGGAGTATTTTTGGATATGAAACACTCCTTAAATTCTTTGATAATATGTGTCTTCTTCTGTTGGTAACAAATACCAACAAATTGCAAGGCAAGACAAGCACTCCATCACCCATTTATCAAAAATGCAACTGATCTGGAAAGGACAATCATGATGCCCAAGGCAGAGTAAGCCAAGCCAGTAAGAAATTTAAATTTTGTTCTCTGTTTCCTAGTGAGGGATACACATTATTTCTTTCCACCCACCCCCAAATCCTATTCACAACACCTAAGAGCAGTGATTCACCTTCTGTAAAGGTCTCAGCTATTCTGGTAATGGAACTGCTGAATATTTAAATGAAGAAGGAACATAAAATCATCGCACATCATACCGTGTTCATGAGAGTTGATTCAGAATTGGCAACCAAGACAAACACATCAGCATCTAAGCAGAACTTGTCAATCCAGCTGTCCAGTTCTGTAGTGACATCTGTGCCAGGGCTGTCAAGGACAGAAAACACAAACTCTTATTTACACACCAAAGAAGTAGTTGATTTTTATAAACTGATAAAAATAGAGTGGAAATGCCTAAGGGCCTTGCAAGAAATTACAAAGGTTTGTATCTTCAGGCTGATGCCTACCTCCAACTTAAGGTAAACACTGCACAAGCCAATTACCATCTAGAATTTATCAGTCACTTGATCATTAGACTACCTACTCATTCCAAAATGTAATTTCTGATTAGTAAGTATACACATATAATTAACTGCCAAGTGAAGTGACAGGCAGTCCATCAGAAACCCAGACAGCCTCACACAATGGTTCTCCCCCTCGGATTCTAATTTTAATCAAAGAGACTGTAGTTCATAAAATATTGTTTTTCATTAATAAAGTTCATGTTTAAAGCAATATGCTATGCAAGCTGCGCACAGATTTAAGGAGAAACCAAAACGAAGTTAAAACTATAGTGCTATCCATTAAAAAATTAAGCGGAATATGGGCCATGTTTGCAACACCTAAAATATTGTGGTTCAAATTTTCTCAATTTAACAGTAAAAGGATGATTTGCTTTTTTCAAGTGCCTGCTCCCTCAGAATATATGTTCTTTTTTTTTTCCCTTTAGTAACAGAGGCTGTACAGATACAAGATCATGCAGCCAAGAAAATAATAACAAATTCCCAGTGATTTCAAAGTACAAGACAGAGATGGAACAAAAACCACTGCAATTTATTAGAATACACTCTGAGTGTTGTTTTCTTGAAGAAACCATACTTAAAAATTCACTGACACCTCTGTGAATTACTCTCAAATTCAGTATTTATTGATTTACATGTCAGGTACAGATCACCTGAAGGTCTGAAAAGCTACTGTGAAGCTATAATGCAGTGGCCAAAAATAAGGGCATTTAGCATGGACAAAACAACCACTTCCAGAATTCTTTAAACACATCAACACATAGGAAATGTCAGCCTAACACAGGGCACACACAGCTGACATAGTCACAACTACATTTTGAGGTCACCCATTCCTTTGGCATGTAGGCACTGAAAGTCATATCAGAACCTTTTAAAAACGAAGTCCACAATGTTTATACTTCACATGATCAGTCTGAAGCACTTCAAGAAAGGAAATGGGCAAAAGGTTGTTGCTGCAACAACCCTATTCACACTTCCATACTGTCTGTTTTAAAGGTAGAGTATCCTCAGCCAAAAGCTATTCCCTTTTTCAGCTCAGTCACAAGACACTTGTCTGTTCCAACCGCTACGAGGGCAGAATCAGGAGGGTGATGACAAGCAGTACATACAAAAGAACAAACTCTGTCCTTTCAAACAGAAAATCCTTTCAAGAATTTTCAATCTAAACCAATCTCTTTACTAAACATTGTAATGGCTAATATCCTTAAGAAAATATTTAGTAAAATAGAAGAGATACCTGTCTACTATAACCAAATCATCTCTCAGCAGGGCACACTTTGACTTGGGCCAAAAGACATGGACGAGACAGCCAGCCTTCAAATCTTTATCCATGTGAAGTGCATGAGCCAGCTGATTGACTGTCTAGAGAGAGCATTAGAGAGAAGACAAACATGAATATGCACCTCAAACAAGTCTGCAAACCAGTCTAATTCAGTTCTCAAGCAAACTTGGACAGGATTTATCTTGAAGAGGGTAAGAGAGTTCATACTTTGTTCTGGTGAATAGCTGTGGTTTTTTTCTTGAAGCTCTTCAACTCACCAGCATCTAAAGAACAAGTTGTGCCTTGAAACGCAGACAAGACTTTCTTTTGAGCCACAAAGGCTCCCTACAGGCCTGGACTGTGTGCTGCTGAGCATCATCATCAATTTGCCTCAGAGCTTTAAGATACCAGTGTATGCAGTTCACTAAGATGAGTACTGTAGGCCCAAATGAAGGGCACATTCCAAATCCTTAATCAGTAACAGGACTTACTGAGCTCTATAAAAATAAATCACTCAACACATGCTCTGCTACAATGAGACACACATTAGTTGTTTCTCTAGAACAGCCAGGAAAAACTGTGGAGCAGAGCACTTTCATGAGTTTGGTCTTCCCTCCTAAATAAGAACTTAAACATGCAGAATGAGTGAGCCTTATACTTTTGTCAAACTTGTAACTGTTGTTAAAAAAGAGACCCTTTGAGAGTCAGTTCCTGTGAAAATTTGCATTAAATCATCCAAGAAATGTACCTTGACACTCTTCTTTTCATCTGATCCTTCTGTCATAAGATAAGCCTTATCTCCATCAGTCCCTTCCACACTGAGGAAGCAGTTTGTTGTATGGCCAATCCCACTGGGAAGCACCTTGTCCCACAGCATTGCATTAATGACTGAACTTTTCCCACTGCTTGTTCTAGAGGGATAAAAAACAGAAGTACTTGGAGCAGAACACAGCAGCATTAAACACACCTTTGTGCTGAATTGAATGCACCAGCCCCACAGAGCACAAGCTGGTTTGGGTGCAGAGCTCCAACAGGTGAGCGAGGAGTGCTCATTCAGAGCAACTGGTCACCAGCTCCACCTTCTGCAACAACTTCAAGTCCTCAGCAGTGTCCTGCTATGCACTAACCCTCTACCCCTCACCCATAAATATCTGAGGTTTAACTATTACACAACAGCATGAAGTTACATAGACTGTAACTTGGTTTTGAGCTACTTCCAGAAAAAGTTCAGTGCTCACTGTACAAGAGTTCACAGATTTATTCAAAATGCCAGAGGGAGAGTTGACTTCTCTTTGTCCTGATCAGAACTTTTTCCCTTTACAAAAGGGAAACTTTTATCACACATCATGGCTTGTATTCAACTTTTAACTTTTTGACATATCAAGGTTCAGATATAATGGATTTCTTTATTCCAGAACTTTTTATAGTTTTTCTTTAAATAACTAAACTACTTTTAGCAAAATGAAGGCAAGGCCACTTGTACAAGTTTTTTTCCAATACTATTACAGAATTTTTAGAACCATGAAGATTTACACTCCAAAAATGTGCCTAAATGTAAGCACAGAAAAATCAATCTCCCTGAAGCAAAGTGGACTAGCAGACCACATTGTTACTGCTATCCTTAAAATCATCACACAGATCAATCAGACTGATGTTACAACCAACCAGGTAACCATCTCTATTTCTCTTCAGCTGCATATAGATAGAAACATGAACAGTTACAAGTTTAGTTCTTCAGCACTTCTGATCAAATAAATAAAAAATCCTAAGCAGGAACAGTCCACAACAAAAAAAAAAAAATACATTAAACAAACAAAAAAACACCACCTTAAAAAACACCCAAAAGCCATTGTGGAGAACAGGACAACCTCCAACTTTTCCAAGTCAAAAAAAAAAAAAAATTAATACTAGTAATTTTGTTCATTACCTGCCAAAAAATGCCACTTTCATGTGTCTCCGTGAGAGCACCTCTCCAATGACTGCCAACTTGTTTTTATATGCTTGTATTTTTGCAAGTTCATCTTCTGTTGCTATATGATCAAGTTCTGGGTTCTTATATGTGGCTACACACAGAAAGGAAAAACATAAAAGCAATCACATACAGAGAATGCGTTCTGTGATAGAAGGTGTAAGTAATCAGTACTTAAGATGCCAACTACAAATTTTAATTACAGCAATTAAACAAAACAAGAAAAACCCCACTATAGACATTGATACCAGCCCTTATCATTTGACTCTGCCACAAGCACTGGTGAAATCATGACATAAATCACTTCAGATCAATCGCCAGCCCAACCATGGAACCACTAACCCTGTGAACACAGCCTGATGGGCTCACTTGCCCAGTTCCTTGGGACACTTGCTTCCTTCAGAAGGGAAAGCCAGGACCTCCCATGGATACACAGCTAAGCTGGGCTGTCTTGCCCCTGCAAAGCTCACTGGGATGATGAGTAGCCAACTCTGAGGGTGTGCCCAGCGGTTCCCTGCATTGCATCACTGATGCACCTTTCTGCTGAAAGATGGGAGAACCTGTTTGTCTCTCCTTCTATGCTAAAGAAAGCGCCACAGAAGTGTCATGCCAGAGTGGTTAAGCTTTCACCCTCATGGAAAGGAGACCAGACTGCCAAGGCAAGTGAGTTAATCAGTTTTTCAGCTATGCAGCAATGCCAGGCATTCCTTCCAGCACAAGCTGAGAAAAACCCCAGTGTCAAATGAAAAATATGATTATTTCTGAAGGCGCATGTTTATACAAACAGCACAGTAAGTGATAACATAAGGTACATGATGCTGCTGTAAAACATACTCAGAACAAAGGACAAGGCCCTCATGTTTGAGGGGAAAGCTCACCTTCCACAAACGCTGCTCCCTCAGTGACATACTCCAGCAGCTGGTCGAAGATAGCAGTGATAGTCTTTTTGGCCAGCACAAAATGCTTCAGTGGAGAGACGGAGGCTTCTGCCATGCTGCAGCTGCAAGGAAAGGTGCATCAGGTGACCGAACACTCCGTACATCTAGCTAATTAAAACTCATACGCTGCTCACGCAACCATTAAGAACCAAACCAAACCAAACAAAGCACGCCTGAAGCCCCAAGTCAAAGCTTTAAACTCCAAAGGGCAGTAAGCTCAATTTGCGCTGTTTACTCTGCTCTCCTCACTACATGCGCCGAGAGCAGCTGGCGAAACTCGGGGACAAGTTCGAACCGATCCGGTGCTGTCTGTCCCCCGGAAACACGAGGCTTTGCCCTCGTTAATCTCGGCTCCCGCCTCCCCACAGCCCGCGGGTCAGCGCTGCCACCGTGCCCCGCTCCCTCCCGGAGCCCCGGCTCCGCGGGGTCAGGCCGAGGCCGCCCCGGTCCCTCACGGGGACAGGCTCAGCCGTGCTCCCTCACGGTGACACGCTCAGCCCCGGTCCCTCACGGGGACACGCTCAGCCCCGGTCCCTCACAGTGACACGCTCAGCCCCGGTCCCTCACGGTGACACGCTCAGCCCCGGTCCCTCACGGTGACACGCTCAGCACCGCTCCCTCACAGTGACAGGCTCAGCCCCGGTCCCTCACGGTGACAGGATCAGCCCCGGTCCCTCACGGTGACACGCTCAGCCCCGCTCCCTCACGGGGACACGCTCAGCCCCGGTCCCTCACGGTGACACGCTCAGCCCGGTCCCTCACGGAGCCCCGGCTCGGCCTCGGTCCCGCACGGAGCCCCGGCTCGGCCCCGTTCCCCCACGAAACCCCCGCTCACCCCGGTCTCTCACGGAGCCCCGGCCCCTCAATGAACCCCCGCTCCCCCAGTCTCTCACGGAGCTCCCGGGCCCGGCCCCTGTCCCTCACGGAGCCCCGTTGGCCCCGGCCGTGCCCGTCACCGCCGCCGGGACGGGGCAGGGGCGTCACTTCCCTTTCCTCCTCCTATGACCCCGCTCCGCGCCCTCACCGCCATGTTCAGTGCGGGCTGAGGGCGGCCGCCGCCATCTTGGGCGCGGGCAGGTCGCGAAATGGAGCCGGGCAGAGGCCGGGGCAGAGCCCGGGCAGCACCGGGATCATCGCCGGGATCAGCCCCGGGATCATCGCCGGGATCAGCCCCGGGATCATCGCCGGGACCAGCCCCGGGATCAGCCCCCAGCGCTCACCCGCAGCACCGCGGTTCGGACAAAGTCCGCACGCTGACAACGCCGCGGGCTCGCAGGAGTTAAAGAGCCCCGGTACCGCATGCATTTGGTACGGGAGCATTAGGAAAAGCGAACCAAAATCAGAATCGGCGACAACAGCATTCTAGAGGACACGTTATTTGATGATTAGTAATTCACTGTATTTTAAGATCTTGTAGTAATTTGTGGGATGTAAACTTAGTTTTGAAGTCAACAGTCTTTCACATAAAATAAGGTATTTTGCTCAATAAGAAACGTGATCCAGGAATCTGACACACAGAGATTTGTTAAGGTTGGAAAATACCCTTAAAATCGAGTCACACATTGAAACTAAGGGTTCTAAAGTCTGAAAAACAAAGTATCAAATACAGATCTCTCACAAATACAAAACACTACCAAAACCAATCTCATGATTTTGCATAGCTTCTGCTTGGAATGCTGTTCCTGAAACAGCTGAACCTTGCAGGTGCCAGCGAACAACCAGAATTTGATACTTACTGCCTTGGAGAAAAAATAATAAATACTGGCACAATCCTGGTCCCTAGAGTTTATTTGTGCCCCTCCAGAGTGAGAGGAGCTGCTCAGGCTGCAGGGTGACGGATCTGTGGCGCTACCAGAGCAGCTCAGGTCAGAGCACTCACCTTCCACCTCACCCAAATAACCCAAATGTCATCCCTGTCCCTGTCCTTGGCATGCTTGGCCATGCCTTCCAGCCCTCCAGATTCCAGGCAGATTCATTACCAATTTTTCCTACTACTTAGCAACTTTCTTGCTTTAACATGCAGATCACATGGGAGCCAACAATGTATTTGTGTTCCCTTTTAAAACAAGACATGCTACTCCTGTACACTTCCATTTACTCCCTGATAGATACTAAAAAGAAAATACTGATATTAGTCCCTCATTTATAAAATCCAACCTAAAACGACCTTGGATACATTTCCTGTTTAGACATTGCATTTTAGTTTGGAATGATTTGTCTTCACAGCATTCCTGTGGGGGATTGTTTTGATTCCCATTTTAGAGATCAGAAATAACCCAACTCAAAGACAGCCACAAAGTTATTCATGTCAACAAATAAGTTTGCTGTGTCACAGGGCTCTGTGCTGGCACAGAACACCGCCTTTCCTGCTGAGGACACAATGTTGGTCTACACAAATACACACACTTTTTAAGCCCCTTATTTATTTTTGCGTTTTTTTAAATGCCTTTTTTCCCCATCTTCTCACTGCCTCCCAGAGCACCTTTCTCTCCAGAGCTCAGCTGTGCCATTCCACCCCTGTGCTATCAGCAGGAGCAGAGTTTTCAGGGAACCAGCATTCCCCCTTTTAGATATATGAGCAAAATTAACTTTCCATGTAGAAAATAACTCATCTTAGTGTTTTGTTAACTATATTATTGCTACCATTTTAAGCCAGCCAGGGAAGAATGTGTTCAAAATAGGAAATCAGCAATTCTACCACAGATACTGTCATTCTCTATACAAGGGAGTAATAAAATACAGCAAGACACCCTCAGGTTGCCCTTTCAGTGACAAAACACAAGATCTAGTAGTAAATCAGCATTTCAAAATGACAGAAATGGTCTTGCCTCTCACAACAAAATAAACACTAAGTGGTTCATAGACTTTCCAGAAATATTTATCTGGAAATCAGAACTTCCGTTAATCAATAACATTCAGCCAAGTTTTAGCCTTAGCTTTAAAAATCAAATCCAAAGACCCTTGCATGCCTTGAAGCTGATAACACCAAATCTCACTGCTCAAGAAATGTTTGATACATTAATTATCTCTATACAAAGCTTGCATTAGACAATCTTACATTACAAATTTACAATCAATGAAGAAAGAAATGTAAACTCCACCAGTAATTATTACGGGTATTTCCACCATGGTATCTAGCATGAGCTAAGTGACCCCACTCTTTGTTTTCCACTCAGATACAGAGCTACAGAATGAACCGTAAAAAGTCACTTCTAATGATTACAATGGCAGGATAGTGCTTTGTATAATATAAACAAATGTGAGAAATAATTTGAGAGTCATTAGTAAAAATTTTGTTATGTACCAGTCTTTTAAGCCCATTTATAGAAGTTTAAAATTTATAGAGTTAAAATAACATTTCTCAAGTTACTAGTGGTGGAAAGATAATTATAGATATACAGAATTACTACAATAATATAGATTACTATAAATTTTCTCTAGTCAGATGTTGGTGACATCCATAATTTCAGTGAGAGCTGTATTAGGATTTTATGTAAGAAATTAATTTTGTACATTCTCAGCAGGATCATTGCAAATTCCTTTTGCAATTATTCTTTAGAACATGATCCAATTCAAACCCAAGCAGTGTGTGTCTCCTCAGTGATTAAAAGAACTGAAGGTAAATAAAGGGAGTATCATGTGGGAGTCATGTAGTATGTATGTGGAAGAGTGTGTTGTACACGTGTTGGACAGTCCCACAGATGGGACTTAAACACAGAACAAAGTGAACACTGAGGTCAGAAAGCTATCCCAGGAGAAAAACAGGACAATTGAAAAAGCTTATCAGGAGCATGAGGTGGGAAATGAAGGCTGGTATGTGAATCTGGAGATGTCCATGCCTGGGAACTTTTGGAGCACCCTTATCTTTGGCAGGTCAGTGCTACTGCTGAACACCAGTGCAATGACCTGCTACCACGCAGGGTAACATGAGCTGGATGTGGAACCGAGACCAGTACTGGGTAATTGAAGCGTGGAATTAGATATTTGCTTTGTTTTTGTGCCTTTTTAAACTCAAGAGAACTGGTCTTGTACACTAGACATGAAAAAAGCAGGATGACCACCAGAACTGGTATCACAACATGCAATTACTCCCACCGTCCCTCCCCCCAAAATCTGATCCATCACAGTGTAAATGTGATTATTCCTACTGAAACCCCTAGACAAGGAAATTCACAACACCAAGTGCTATACATGCTTTGCTGATATAAAGACATTAGAAATGTACAATTGCTGTTAAAATTGTATTTAATATCACATTCCAGTGACTGGAAATTAATTCCAATTCTAACAAATTGATTATGGGGAAAAAAAGCAATCACACCGTCTCATGTATCTGAAGATGACTTAGAAGATCCTTTTCATTCCCAAACCTCATTAAACAATCAGTACATTTATGAGGCAAATCTGCTGAATGCCTGAAATCCAAATGAGTTTTAAGGTCTTCAATCTGTCCTGTTGAATATTCACAGTATTGACACAAATAAATCCCTTCAGATAAATGAGAGCTTAGGTGCTTGCAATATTCCAACATACCTGAAAATCCCTTCCCACAGTCATCACAAACATGAGGGAATATTTTGGTGTGCTCAATAGCTACATGCCTGTTGACATTTGTATGCAGCCTGCTCCTAAAGCCGCACACCTGGCACACAAAGAAGTTTTTGCATTTGTCAAAACTGATTTTGTTGATGAGGCTGTACTGGCCACGCTCCTTGTTGTTGTAGCTGTCGCTCAGCTCGATGAGCCGGCACGCGTGCTCGTTCACCACGTGGCTGTGCAGATCCTCGGGGTCGTTTGTCTCGTGCTCACAGAACTGACACAGGTACTGCTCGTCACAGCTGTGCTCCTGGAAGTGCAGGTACAGCTCGCTGCTGGAGGAGAACTGCACATCACACTGCTCACACCAGTAAAGGTGGTCGTTGAAGTGAGTGTCTGCTATGTGCTGACTCAGATTCTCAAAAATCACCGTTTTGTAATCGCAGTATTTACAGATGTATGGATCCTCCTCGTGTAGTTTTACGTGTTCAATGAGCTGCACCTTGCTGGAGAAACTTTCTTTACAAACTTTACAGACATGAGTGTCTGTACATGTCTTATGCTTCAGAATCATGTGCTGCTTCAGATCAGAGAAGTACTTGCTGTTGAACTCACAGAGCTCACACTTGTACAAGCCGCTGCTGTTGGCTCTCAGCAAGGGCCATTTCTGTTGAGCTGTGATATTCAAAGCCTGGTTCTTCTCAAAGATTTTACAGGTCTCCAGAGGGATTTCCTCAAGGTCCTCAGCTTCCAGCTTCTCAGGTGACACAGTCTGTGTTTCTATATCATGAACTTCTACTGCATTCACTTCTGTTGTAGAAATTTCTACAGTCTGGATATCTAGAGGCTTCTCCTCTTCTGTGGGGCTGTCACTGAATATAGGCGAGTCACATAAGTCTCTGCACATTCCATTGTTAGTACCTTTATCTGCAGAAGGAAACACATAATAGAAGGTTGGGAAAAAACCACTACAAAACACCTGGGCCCATTTTTATCTTTTCAGTCAGCTGCAGCAGCTTTCAAATGCAAAGACCAGTTATTTTTTCCCTGCCAGACCATGATGTATTTTCAGCTAACAAAGCAATACCAGAAACTATAAATTCTTTGCCATTTCTGTCAAAGCAAGGAAGTTCTACAAAAAGCCAGCAGCAGCTGGGCTCTCCAACCTCCCAGCACCTCATCTGCAAACACACTGGCCTTTACCTTTATCCTTCTTTTTAGGGTCTGTGCAGTGCATCCCAACGTTTGAGTGTGGCCCACTCCAGTGAGAGCTCCCGGCGTGCACCGGACTCCCGTCATCATCCGTGTCCAGGCTCTGCACAGGACTGTGGAATCTTCCTGCAAAGGGAAGGGAAGCATTTCATTCTCATCATTTCTCCTATCCTGATTCCTGAATTTAGTCATAGATCTTACTTACTGTTTATTTATTCTATTTGCATAAATTTATCGTTATATACTAAGCGCATCATAACCTACATTTTTAAAAAGTAACAACACATACCTTGAAAATTATTTCCATACATGCAAAAAAACCCAAAATAATTCAAAAAGTGAAAATCTGTCTAGAAGATTTCAGCAAAAAATACTGAATTTACTACTGAAAATACTCAGCTGATTATACAGAAAAAAAATTTAAATCCTTAAATAAAATATTACATTTAAAAAACACAACCTAAAAACTATTCTTCAATATTTCTGGACACTGAGTTTTAAAATATGATACTTTCTAAAACTTCTGCAGACTTTATCATTAAAGTGAAAAGAAAATTAAATAGACTATAATAAATAAATAAAAGAAATAAAAGAAATAAAACTAAATAAACTAAAAATCCACCATCACATTTACTCTGCTAACTTTCCACCCACTATTGGATGTTTTATAAAAAGGCATTTTGTTTTGCCAGGTACAAGTACAATTCATAGTCTTACCTCTGTTTATATCTGGCTGTCTCATGGAACAGACACTATAGCAGTGGTCAGAAAAAATTCCACTGTTGTCTATGTATCTGCTTGCACCTGAAGAATCTAAACCAAAACATCAACAAAAAAAACCTAAGTACTCATGTCTTCTTGTAGCTACAGATGTACTTCTTGTTAATGAAAATGCTTTTCACATTTTTACTTGTTTTGGAAGAATTCCTGTTGTGATTACACCTTCCAGCTGCTGCCCTGATGTTTGGAGTATCAGGTCTCTGCTCCCATTGAGGACATTGACAATTGTGTGGTCTGTTTGGTGCTAAACATTCCTCTCTAAACCCCCCCCAACTTTTACAGAATTCCTCCCCTCTGTGGAAGCAGAATCACCTTCACTTGCAGCTAAAGCCAGTTCCCCCATGTGCAGGAGTACAGAACAAACCATTCAGGTGCATTGGCTCAAGGTGGCCCAACAAAGGAGGCTGCAGAGTGCTGCTGCCCATTCAAGCCAAGATTTCTTATCCCATCCTTTGTGTCACTGCTTTCCCACGTGTTGGCACAAATGGTCCCTTCTTGTAAATTTATTTTTCTGAGAAAAATTATTAACTTACTAAAGTGTACATAACTCAAGCTCTAGACTGACCTGAGTAACGAGAAGGATGCAGAGTCTTCCTTTTTCTCTTTTTAGGATGTTCATTCATTTTGAACAGTCTACATGAACTGTAAAGTAAAAACATTAAAGAATTCGACTTGTTTGTATCTAATTTATCTTTCAGAACCTTATGGAACAATACCAGCATTTTGAAAACCTGTGTAACCAATACAAAAGTTTTTTCCCACTCCCCCTTCTTGCCCACAGCCCATTTTGATAAGAACCCACTAAATACACGCAGCTGCTGAAGTCCAGTTTCACATTCTTACCCTGGAACAAAAAGTTCACCTAAAAGACAGACAAGTCAGAACTCCAGCACTAAGGGTCATCTACAAGCCTTCTCTCCGTCACCCTTTTCACCAGAGACAGGACATTCTGAGGCAGAGCCCTTCAGAAACGAGTTTTAGTGTTTAAAATACTAACACAGTCATGCTCTCTTACCAAAAATCCTAGACTCTTCAGTATCGGGAAGCAGAGCAGCTAAGAAGCTGGTGATTGCACAGCTTCCTAAAGTAGTGAATGCATCAGCTCAAGACGACTTTCACCTACGGAGAGACAGCATTTTAACCCACTTAGAACTTTAGCACAAAATAGAAAAAACACAATCAGATACAAGTGATACAAATACTACAAAGAACGAATCTATGGAAATTTAAGCTAGAAAACAACATAAGAAGTCGATATTAATTTCAGTTTAGAGCATCAAAATTAGTATGGTACACGCACTGCTGTATTTCTTTTGTCTCCGGTTAGTTGGCTTTGCTGCACTTGGCAGCTCCCGAGAGCAGAAAAGTATTTGGAAATGAAACACAAATATTTGAGCTATATACGGGACAGTCTTGAAGAAGAAAAGGCTGCGAACAAGGAACGTGATGCACGTTGCCGTAACTAAAGAGCGCTCGGAGGCCCAGGATCGTCTGCAGTCAGTGCCCTGCTCCGGAGGTGAAAGGAGGGAAAAAAGGGCCCCGATCAAGTCAACGGCGTTCTCCTGAGAACATCTCCTGAAAACTAAAATTTTATTTCAGGAGATGGAAAAATAATTTACTTTAACGTTACACCGTGATCTAGAATTATCAGTACCCTCACCTGTGATTTTCTGTGATTGCAAGGGAAGAACCGACAGCGCACTGACACCGCAATCTCACCCCAGGTACCGCACGTGAAGAGCTCAACCTTTTCTGCTCGGCTCGGCCCGCGGGGCAGCACGGCGGGCTCTACTCCAGCGCCTTTCCCGGCCCACCAAAGCGGGATGCAGGCCCCAGAACCGGGATCCCGACCGGCCCGCGGCGGCGCGGCCTGCGCGGAGGCCGCACGGGGAGCCCTGGCGGGAGCGCGGCGGCGGCTCCGCTCCGCTCCGCCCCGGGGCGGCCGCGCAGCCGCGGGCACGGCCAGGCCGCGACCCCGCAGGGGCGCCGGGAGAGGGCCCGGCCCGGGGCCGCGCCGGGGAGCCGCGGGCCCGGCCGTGAGTCACGGCTCAGCTCCCGGCGGGGCCGGGCACGGGCGGCTCCCGCCCCGCGGCTCCCGGGCGCTGCGGCCGGGACTCACCTGCCGGCCGGCAGAGCCGCTCCGCTCCTCCCGGGCCCGGCGCGGCCGCTCCGCCCGCCCCGCTCCTCCCGGGCCCGGCGCGGCCGCTCCGCGGGCGAGGGGCGGGAAAGGCGAGAGCGGCCGCCGTGCGCGGCGCCCCCTGCCGGCTGCGGGCGCCCCCGCCCGTCGCCATGGCGACAGCGAGGGGCCGCGGTGGAGCTCCGGGCGGTGTTTGGGCCCAGCGCCGCCCGCACGGCCGCGGTCCCACACACAAACCTCGCCCGGAGCCGGCAGCAGGTAAGGATGCTTCAGAGCAGCGCCAGCACTCCCATTTTACACGAGTGAGACGGTGATGGCAAAGCCGGAACCTCGTAAAGCTCAACTTTAGTTTTTGTGTCAAAATAGAAGCTGTCCTTTAGAGCTGCTGTATAGGAGAATCAATATAAAGTGTATCATAAATATCGTATCATAAATATATACAGTATAAGAAAGAAATACATGCATACAAGAAAGACGGGGAGCTGCTGGAGAGGGTCCTGGGAGGCACAAAAGGTTTGTGAGCGTCTCTTGTGAGGAGAGACTGCGGGATGGGCCTGGGCGGTCTGGGGAAGGGACCTGACGGGGATCGCATCGATGCACATCAATATTTCAAAGGCAGGGCCAGAAGATGGTGCCAGACTCTTTCTGGTGGTTCCAAGCAGCAGGATGAGGAGCAATGGCCATAAACTAAAACACAAGAAGTTTGGCCCCAACATGAGGAAACACTTGTTCACATTGAGGATGGTAGAGCAGTGGAACAGCTGCCCAGGGAGGGTGTGGATTCTCCCTCTCTGGAGACATTTCAAACTCACCTGGATGTGTTCCTGTGTTATCTGCTCCAGGTGACCATGCCTTGCACTGGGTGATCTCCAGAGGTCCCTTCAAAAACCAACAATTCTATGATTCTGTGAAATATGTATAAATAAGAATTTGAAAATTAAAATAAGCAACAGTCTCTTTTCCAAATTTATAGTCACATCCCTTTTTGCTGATTTAATCATTTTATCATGCCACAGGAAAAAGCACCAAATTGTATTGATTCACAAAGCAGAACAAACAGCATCTTACTATTTTAAAAAATACCTCAATAATTTTGAAGACATGAGGCCACAACAGTCCCTTATTTCCATGACTTAAAATAACTTATGGAATTTTGCCAAGTGTTGTATTCATTGAATTGTTTTGCTTTGGCTTAGCCTGAATTTACCTACTTCTCTGAAAAAATTTTGAACTAGCAGAGAATCCACAATATCCCTAATGGTGTTGCTCTACTGATTAGTAAAAAAAGAAACCATACCCATCTTCTGGCTTTAGTTTTATTCATTATCTGGCAAATGAAACTGGACTTAGTCTGTCTATAAAATCCTACCTTTAGCCTTTGTCCTGAGGCTGGAAATATGTCTTTATGGAAAGAGCTTCATGCTATGATCACACAGGAGTTTTGGCAGTAAGCAGCAAAACAGAACTAAAGGTGTCCTTTTGCTGGGACAAAATAAATGTTGTATGCCTACAATCTCCTGCACTGAGTTACCAATCAAACAAGATGCTGATCTCCCAGTACAGTTCGTTCTCTGCTTCTTATTCCAGCCATGGTTGCTGAGGTTTCCCCAGACCAGCTTGTGTTAAAGGTCTCACAGATTGGCTGTAGCCACCCAAAAGGGCAGATGCCCACGCACCTCTCCCTCTATTCACCACAATGTTTTCCATACAAGCGTTCAGGAAAGCGCTTTCCCCAGTTCCCAGCGGAGGGCAGCGATGAGAACCTAAAATCCACACACAGCAAAGGGAGAGGGGATAAAAACCAAACCCAAGCCTTTGCTTTGAATTCAGTCCTGCTTGTCAGGCAAACTCAGGCGGACCAAAGCATTTTCTGTGCCTTTGGACTGATTTATTCTCCACCCAACGCGGCACAGCCCAACACCACTTATGTCAGATAAAAAGACAAGGCTCTAAGTAGAAGAACATCTGAGGAGGATCCCCTTTGAAGCTGCAGATCCAGTTCAAAGTCACAGGCATCAAACAGAGCTATCAATGCTTTAGACAGAAAAGCCTAAATGAGTCTTGTTTTTTAAACCACCACGTGCTTGGGATGTTGAGAGAGTTTGGGTGAGGTTTTAATCACTCAGAACTGAAAACAGAGAAAAGTCTAGGTGACATTCACATTCTTGTTTAAATGGACAGCATAGATGATGCTCATTTCAATTAGTGGGGATGTATCCAGACCAAAGGAAGCATGAGGTAAGCCCTTTCTTCAATGAAAGCACTTAGCACAGCTCATGGGGATAACCTTCACTGGAGGTAGGCTTGTTAGTGTTTAAAAGGACATGTAGGAGGTTACCTGAGGTATCTAGCATCAGGTTCTTTGCTCTTTTGCTACATGGGTTCAGAGTTTAGATTGAGTCTTTCAAGGCAGGTTGGAAAACAGACTGATTTCTGAGCACAAAATCAGGAGGGCTTACTGAGATTCCCATGCTAAAGCAAACTGCCCACATTGCAAATCTTTGTTTCACCAGCATTATTTTGCAAATTTTCTGTGATTTTTTTCATGTTTAGACTTAGAACTACCACAAAAATCACACCTTGTCACTAAATGGCAATAAAGTCTAAAATTTGTGTTTGAACAAGAGCTGATGATCCTCTTATCCTGAACCATCCTGTGCAACTAACACACAGTTGTAGCCACTCACAACCATTTAATAGTTATTAGGCAAGGGTAAAACTCACCTTATGTATAATAAACATAAGTTTAACTTGTTAGTTCAGGTTATTGAAGTAGCTAGTTCCAAAGCCCCAGCCATACTTTTCAGACCACAGCTCTTCTGAAGCTTCAAAATAAATATAAGGATGATGATGTCCATCTTTTATTACAGGGTTGGTCCAGCACAGACTGAGCCCTGCTGGTACACAGCCCCTCTCAAAGCTGGGCAGTGTGAACTGAAACAGAACTGAGCAGTACAAAGTTTAGAACTCACTGGGGACAAAAATGTTTTGGAAGGGGCCTGATTAAAAACCCTGACACTTGCCTCATCCCTCCAAAAAAAGTGAAATCCTCACAAGAGAACTCAAATCCTTCCCAGTTTGTTAGTAGCTGGAGTCCAAAGTAGGCCAACATGGTCACAGGAGGAGCTCCTTTGCAGCCTCATGCTATTATACTGCCAGTGAGTAATTTCCTCAAATATGTTTGTCACTCTTTCAAAATTAGCATTGGATACAAAAATATAACCTTGTTTGTTTGTTTTTTAAAATTATAATTTTGTAATGAAAGCATGAAGCATATTTTTCAAAACCAGGTTGATTTAGCAGGGACTGTAAACCATCAAGCTGAAACACTTCAATAACATCATCTTTCTTGTCACAGATTTTTACAGCCCACGTCTAAAACTAAAATAAAATTACTTATTTTGAGGATCAGCGTTTACAAGAACAAATGCCATACACATATTGGACTTTTCACCCTCAAATAATGCAAATTCTATTTATGTTCCCTCCAAATTAACTGAGGTATGCAATTTCCATTTCCTTTCTTCTAGCCTTTCTCAAAGGCAGAGCTGCAACACCAGATCACACACCAAGACTGAATATTCCTTAAATCTTCACTTCAGAATTCACAGGTGTACCAACCATATCATTTTAATTTAGTTGTTAGTATATACATTAACACTCAAAAATGTGATAAAAACCAAACAAAAGTATTTTTTTTAATAAACATCATGATACAGACCGCAAAGATAAATAAAAAGCAGACTTTTTACAGTTTCCCATGAACATGTACTACAATAAGTATCATAGGCCAGACTTTTTTACTTGAGTAGCACAGCAGAAGGGTTAAAAAAGGGGTTGTGGTTTTTTTAATTTAAAGTACTGCAAGACTATTCTCAGTATGACAATACATGCATCTTGCTGCATCTTAAATACTTTTTGGCCCATTATTACTAAAAATGTCTTGCTTTCTACCTACTTTACCACAGACCTTTATCACAGAATGATACACACATGGCAACATCCCCCCCCGCCCCAGTAGTGGTTATTTCAAAGGTAATTGTCTCATTTTGAAAAGATAATTAAAGCACTGGTGGGGTTTTTAACCTTCCCTTTGATGCAGACAGGCAACTGCTCTCAGCTTCAGGGAAGTTACACAGAAGCATCGAGAGCTGACACCCTCCTGGGCTCTGCTTGTACCCAAAATGCCAACAGGCTCTGGGCTGCCTTAGGAGGAGCCTGCCCCTCTGCTCAGCACTGGTGAGGCCACCCCTGGGCACTGGGCTCCCAGTCCAAACCTGACCTGAATGTGCTGGAATGGCTCCAGGAAGGGCTGCCAAGGGGATGCACAGGAGAGGAGAGGGCTGGGATTGGGATCCTGGTCAGAGAGAAAGCCTGGGGGGTATCTGGTCAATGTACATAAATACTTGGTAGGGAGGAATAAAGACAGGCAAAGCTCTTCTAAGTGCCCACTGACAGGACAACAGGCAGTGAAATAGAAGGTATTTCATATAAACATTATGAAAAAAAATTGGCTGTGGGTTCTTCTTTTTCAGACAGACTCTAAACCCAGCTAGGCAATGTCCTGGGCATCCTGTTCTATTGCTGACTCTGCTTTGTACAGGGGGTCTGGGCTAAATGAACTCCAAAGGTCTTTGCCAGCCTCAATGGTTCTGTGAAAATTCTGCAGTTGTGTTGCCATTTACAATGACAACAATACTTACAAAATTTCAAACCCAAGAATCCAGGACTTCAGACTGCAGCTGTATATATTTAAAGCCCTTCTCTCCACCAGGGAAGTAGATTTTCATAGTGTAGTGGATATTCACAGTTAAAACTTGAAGAGGTGCAAGGGGGCAAAGAGAAAGGATGATACTCCCAGATAATGAATTACACATTTATCTTCACATGAGAAATGAAGAATTTGGACCACAGTTGCTATAAGATAATAAGATTCATATATTCCTTTTCATTCCTCAGCCCCAAATGAAACAGTAAGACAATTTTGGACAGCCTGGGGCAGTTGATAATTCAGGATATAGAACATTATTAATAAAGCCTGAAAACAGATTAAAAATAGTTAAAGAAACAAGGCAGAATGAGATTCCAACTATGAATATCCATATTTTGGCTCACAAGAATTAACTAAACTACAACAGACACAAAGATTCTTGAAAAAAACACCTTCTGCCTGAATTAGGCTTTCAGTGACTTCAGCAATACAATTAAGTCAGGTTTAGTTGTGATTAATTTTATGACTGGAACAGGAGCCTGACAAAATTAATGCAGTTACACTGAACTGAATGGCTCCTGAAGCAGTTTAATAACTACTGGGAATCAGGCACCAGAATTTAAAAAATAATCAAGACAGTATAGTGTATTTTTTGCCTTCCTTCTGCTGCAGGAATATTGCATCACATACAGAAGTGACAGTAAGGACACTTAAAAGACACGTACACAAACCAGTGGGGACACTAACTTCAAAGTACAGGCAGAACATTGCTTCAATTGATCTTCTCTTACAAATATTTTTGATGTTTTTATGCTCTGGGCATGTCCCAGAGGGGTGTTGGAGAGAGAAAATAAGGGACAGAGGGATTCACCTCTGGCTTTGAGTCAGGAGCACTAACACAGCAAGACCTCAGACTTTTCAGAGTCTATCCCATAAAGCTCAGATGTCCAGAACACTGTATGGCAAATGAAGAAGTGATTTTTCCTGAATGTGGGTTCAACAGGTCTGTATGCTATGAAAGAGTAGGAAGAGGAAATATTTAAGCTAGCAAGGAACAAAAATATTGAAGTGTCAAGAATGACACTTCTGTAGACTGTAGACAAGATTACTGTACTTTTGGAGAGCTGAAAAGGCTACTTTGTTAATAAAGACTATTTCAAAGTAAAGTTAATAAGTGTTTAACTGGGCTGCTACTAAACATTCCCCTCCTTAAGAGAACCTTTCATACTGAATCATAGGAATAAATAATCTGGAACTCTGATATACATACAGCCTAACTCTGATTTCATATGCTGTTGTGAATCCAGAGCAATTCCGATGAAGTGAGTGTTGTATCAGCATAAAGTGAAATCAGAATTTCTCAGAGCAGAGCACCTATGGGTTTGGTTAGTGTATGCAAATAGAGAACTTCTATAGCCAGTTTCCAGTTGGCTTGCCTTCATTAACACAGGTTAAAAAAAAGTAAATCTAAACAAAGAACCCCAAACCAATACCAGCTGCAGGGGTTGTGAGCTACACATCATTTTGGACAGACAGAGCCTTTCCTAAACTGAGACAACTTCCAGCGCAAAATAAAAAGATGCAAATTCATTATTTATATGAAACATGTATTGCAAAATTAAATTGGGATTCAACAATCTGCAACAACATCCACAGCTATATAGTGTTTTTAAAAAACAAGTGTGGTTCTTCCATTCAAGTAAAACTAAAAGAAGTGAAAGAAGTTAAAAAAAACCCTAGAAGCAGCAAGTTACAATTCTTTCTGTAATACCACACCATTTTCATTAACTTGAAGTATTTTCAAGATGTCAAAGACATCAACAAAAATAGTAATTTCAAGTGGCATTTCTGATTTTTTTTTTTTTTTTTTGAATGGGTCCAGCCCAGGTCTGCAACCTGTACAGACATGCAAAACAGGAGGAATTCATAATGACTATTAAGAACAGACATTTGAACATGCCAGTTATATAATGACAAAGCAAAGACAATACCTTCAAATTGTCAACAAACGTGGGCAACTGACCACTAAAGGGCATTTAATACTTTACAGGAAAAGGAAAGTTGGATTAATACCCACAAAAAACTTGCCAAACCACCAACAGCAGGGTCATTACATACAAAGTTCTTTTAAACCTGGTAATTTCTATATTGTCTTCAATATGCAGGCTCATATATTTTTCACCAGATGCCAAACCACCTACAATTTTGGTTTTATTTAAAAGCCTTTTAAAAAAAATTAAAAATTATACTGTAAGTCTGTTTCATCTATGTAAAAACTACTAATGCACCCTTTCAGACAAAGAAGTATGCATATATAAAATCAGTACAGGTACTTTTTCTGCTACATTTAGGAAAGCAATGAATGTAATTCTAAGTAAAACTAATATGCAGCAGCCTGTTCTGTCAATATATCAAACACAGTTTCACAGCTGAAAAAGTTACTGGTTTTAAATTTTATTTCACTAAAACTCCATTTCCTAATGCTTTGTGGTAAAACACATGGCCCAGTCCTGGGCTCCTTGCTCTGGCAGTCTTACAAGGAAGTTCTGCAGGAGCAAGGTGCCCAGATTCACTTCAAGCCCAAAATAAACTGCTTTAGTGTTTTGTGCATCTGATTCCTAGAACAAAGGGAAAATTTTCAAATCTCCATGAAGTGGGAATAGTTAAAAATAAGCCAAATTCCAAGTATTTCTGTAAAAAACTAGGACTCAGTTACAAGTGCTTTCACGGTCTGCAAGCAGATCTTCTTTCTGATACTGGGAGCAGATGACATCCTCTCATTTCACCAGGGTATGCAAACAGTGCCTCCACTATCCTCAGTGAAGTTACATCAGCACAGAACTGCAGTAATTAGGGTTCAACACTTTGAAGCTGAGAAAAGGATTGTTGTTTTCTGTGAAACACTGGCAGAATGTTTTCCAAATGCCCATCCTGGTTATGCAAAGAACTGGGTGAAGCCCAAGAGCTTCTCCTAGTTGTTAAAAAAATTTGTTGAAAGCCTACAATTATCCTGAACTGTATCATGTCTATATTATTGCAACTGTATTATGTACTGCTCTGAGGTTTCCTTTCTTTTACTATTTGATTCTCATAATAACGTCTACAGCTTATGCACAACATTTCATTGGAGTAACTTCTGGAAACAGAGCCTGACTCCTCATACCTTGGTCTGGGCAAAAAGGGTGCAGAACACTGTGCTTAACTGAAAGATATTTATACTCATATTTACAGAAGGGCTAGGAAGGGGCAAAGTACAAACAAATTTGGCTTCATAACATCCAATAAATTTGAGTTGATCTTTTCACCCAGGCTGAAAAAGGCTGACCATTTCTTGCATAAATGAGGTAAAGCATTGTTTCAACACCAGATAAATACGGATAATATAGCACCTAATGTGATGTCTGTGCAACAGTTTTACTCAGTTAAATTAAGAATTATAGCCAACAGGGTTTCAGATTTTGTGAACTAAACTTAAACTGAAACGAACCCATTTTAAGAGCTAAACCATTATTGTGTGTTGATTGCAAGTAATAGATACAAGGGTAACTTTGCTCTAGAAAGTACAACCAAGCTTAGCAGGAGTTAAAATATTCGTATGAACAAAAAGGAGTATGTAACAGTCAATAAAAAGAGCAATGGGAAGTCTATTGGACTACTCCAAAATATTTCATAGAGCTAAGAAAATAAAACTTCACATTTCCCATACTATTCTCAGAGCTTCTGTAGTTTTCACAAAACCAGGTTTCCCCCTCCAACATCAAGTATCCATGCATGCAGTAATCAGCTGCAGGATGCTGACTCTGAAAGTGTCTTGAAACACCAAAGCCTTGGCTTTACAATCCCCGAAGTCTTTCATAATGTAATTGATTGCACATTTTTAATATATTACAATTTGCTAAATGAAGCTAACCACTCATTACCTCATCAGTACAGCCTGCACAAAGTACAGTTTATTTATATGCTTATATTCTAGTCTAACACCAACTGCCAGCATATTTTACATTACACGTGGTATTGCACTTTCTGAGTGGCACCTCGGTGTGTGTTTGCAAATGAACAAGCTGAACCCCCAAAAGCCCCAAACCTCTGGAATTCAAGTGCTGCCAATCTAGCAAGTTTAAAATGTTAGGGTGAACATCACCCACAGAACTATTATGGGCTTTGCTAACTTTAAAAAAAACCTGTTTAGGAATTAGAAAAACAGTCCTACCTGAAGCTGTGCATAAGGGCAATCTGAAATCCTCGGTACTCTGAACAGTTTCAAAACACGGTGCCAATTTCATTGATTGCACACATTGTAATTGTGTTAAAGGACAACAACTAGATTTACAAATATATATTACACACACACACGAAACAGACAAAGCTATAAAATGTTTGGTAACTCCACATGCTTTGAGCTAGCCAACATATCTGTCTGCTGAACTGCTAATTATTGATCATATTGAAAATCTAAATTGCTATTTCTGATGTATCTTACTGGATTGAACAACCACTTCCAAAGGAGGAAGAAAGGAGAAATGGTAGACCCAAATTCTGAGGGTTTAAATTCTTGGGATAGCCAGCGTATCACTTCAGTAATGCGAAAAGTGATTCCCAAAATTTTTTTAGAGACTTAGGCCAAGTTCACCTTTGGCTTTAGTGGGTATATTCCCACTACTTCACTGGTACTTGTGTCCTCTTTCACTAGGGCTGAATTTGGTCCTAGGAGTATGTCTGGTCACCTTCAGTGACGTTAATGAAAACGGGAGTCTTGGACAGATAGAACTGGGTTGCAAAATTAAGAGAGTTAGTATTGGACAAATCAGGTAAATAAAGAATATATATTAATAATAGTTCCTATTATATAAATAGCCTTTATAAAAAAATAATCTTTCAATAATTTTAATAACTCACCTTTCTTTAGGTTCTGGAAAACATGTATGAAAAAAATCTATTCAGTTCAAGTTAGATTAAAGCAAACCTAAGATGAACACTACAGCTCTCTGTTGCACTAAACCCAATTCTGACCATTCAATTTCCAGGTTAGTCAGTTTTTGGGGATGGTAGGGAGTTTCTTTGTGAAAGTATGAATTGCACCCCTAGAAATACCGAGCAGAAGAAACACCATACAGAGTGGGCCTATTTCCTACTGCTTTCAGAAACTCTGCAGATGACGGACCCAGAAATCGAAGGGCCACCCAAATCCCACAAATGTTAATGCCTCTGAGCACATTTAAAAGGCACTGTCCTCTAACTAATGTTTTTAGATCTTTGAGCTTCAAAGTCTTTCCCTTTAAACTATGCTGCATTTAAGTATTTGCTATCACTTGAATTCTCTTTCCATTCTTAACAATCCAGCACAGTCTCCACCTGCTGTACCAGATCTAAGGTAAGACATGATGGACTCTTACGTTCACACTAGCACTATTTTCTTTTTCCTTCTAATTTATCTTATCAAACGAGAGAAGGAAACATTCTTCCAAGTTTACCTTTCTGAGCTTAAGGCATAACATGAATCATTGAATTATAGAATATGCCGAGTTGGAAGGGACCCACAATGATCACAGAGTCCAACTCCTGGCCCTGCACAGACACCCCAGGAATCACACCCTGGGCCTGAGAGTCATGTCCAAACACTCTGTCAGGCTTGGGGCTGTGACCACCTCCCTGGGAGCCTGTTCAGTGCCCAACCACCCTCTGGGTGAAAAACCTTTTCATAATATCCAATCTAAACCTCCCCTGACTATGCTCCATGCCATTCCCTCAAGTTCTATCACTGGTCACCAGAGAGAAGAGATTGGTACCTATCCTTCCACTTCCCTTCATGAAAAAGGTGCAGACCTTGATGAAGTCTAAGCTCAGTCTCCTCCAGCTGAACAGACCAAGTGACCTCAGCTGCTCCTCTCATACAGCTTCCTCTTCAGACCCCTCACCATCCTTGTGTCCCTCCTTTGGGCACTCTCTAATAGCTTAATTTTTTGTTAGATTGTGGCACCCAAAACTGCCTGCAGTATTCAAGGTGAGGCCGCCCCAGTGCAAAGCAGAGTGGGCCAATGCCCTCCCTTGCCCAGCTGGTCAGGCTGTGCCTGATGCCCCCAGGACACAGGTGGCCCTCCTGGCTGCAGGGCACTGCTGGCTCATGTTCAACTTGCCATCAACCAGGACCCCCAGGTCCCTTTCTGCAGCTGCTGTCCAGCCTCTCACTCCCCAGTCCATACACACAACCAGGATTGCCCCATTGCAGGTGCAGAATCTGGCACTTGTCCTTGTTAAACTTCATACACTTGGTGATTGCCCATCTCTCTAATTCGTCGAGGTCCCTGCACACATCGTACTAAAGCTTAATTTTTGAAGTTTATAATTTTAGTGCTATCTGAAACCCTGTTTTACATCATTTTCCAACAGTTGTCTGAACAATTCATCTCTTTTCTTGCCATAAATTCTAATGTTGTTCATGGTTTGTGCAATTCCTATGCAACCAGTCTTTGCTGCTAACAGGTATTAACAGTGCAGTACCCACAAAGCTGGGTATCAGTTCTTGTTTTCTTTGCTGTCAGTTCAGTTCAAAGCATGTTGCTTTATTGTGTGGAAGATCCAGTCCATTTTTGTTGTCCAGCCACCATGGTGAGCATCATTCATTTGCTTCATGAAGTACTCAAGAGCCTCCTGCTCAGTTTTGTCCAATGCAAGTGTCTTTCGGATGTATGCAATGTCATCAAAGGACTGCAGTTCTGGCATTCCTGAGCCAAGCATCATGGAGAAAAGGTTGATGAAGAGGTTGGCATGCTGTCGGATTGCTAGGTAAGCCTTATAACACATCTCCTGAAACCTGGAAGAGACCAGGGGAAAAAAGCTCAGTGCATTGCTCTACTTCATGCCTATCACTGCTTCAGCTCCAAAACAGATTTACAGGTAACCAGATGCTAAAAAAGCGTCTAGTAAGAACACCATAATGTAGCTGAGAAGACGCACTCATTCTCCTACTAAGTTTATTTGTGTAAGGATTAATAGTGGTCAGACTAACACAGAGACAGGCTTTCTAGTCTTAAACTCCATCTGCAATTCACACAACTGTTCAACACGAATTTATGTGAGCTCATTGGGCCATTTTTGTCACTGCTACTGACATTTCAGATTTCAAAAGGTATTTTCTGACACACTGCTAAAATCAGTGCTTTCCTGGCTATCTTCAGAGTTGCATTTCTCCTGTAGTTTTACAAGGGCAGCAGCTATGGCTCTTTAGGTACTCTGAAGAATGCACTGAAAACAGGGGCATTTACTGTATCAGACTGCATAAGAAATACCCAGGTTAAGGGGAAAAAATGCAAAAGAGCTTCACTGCAGTATTCAGAAAGACACTATAATTCAAATTCTGTCTTCCATTGCCATCAACATAATGAAATTAAGATTAAAATTGAAAACTCTCAAAGACTGGATTGCTGGAAAGAGATACTAAGAATGACTACAGCAACAGATTTATTTTTTTACTGTTATTATTTAAAGTTCTTGCTCAGCAGGTTCTGGCCATTGTCACAAACTACACAGGCCAGCTGAAGAGTTGATATCAGAGCAGCTATAGGAGAGAGAAGTATGGCTGGATGACCAGCAAGGCTCTGATGCACACAACACCCAACATTTAAGAATTATCAGTAGCTGCAGTTCTGCCATCTCAAGAGGGTTTTAAGTGTAAAGTCAAAGAAATATCAGATGTTTGAAAAATTACCATCTTTATTCACATGTATACTGACCCTGCAAATCTCAAGTGAGATTTCATGGCCCAAAGGTCATGTAAGTGCTAAGATGACCCACTGACTTACAAGTAGATGGCTGATCTTCCACTGAAAAACTAGAACATGCCCACTGCAAGCCAATTAAAATACTACTGTTCAGTTAAAAGGTCTAATTATTAAAGGTCACCAGTGCTAAAGTGCATTTTAGGTACGAAAGACTCTGGAGGTTAAATGCATAAAAGAAAGCTCACCTTTCAAACTCCCTTGTTTTGGTGCATTCTTGGGCTCCTTTACTAATCACTATTAAGAAGTCTTGTGTTAAGACAAATGGCACACGCTCTCTTTTGTAACCAAATTTTTTCTTCTTGTGATCGAGGAAGTGCCCAAAGTCAATGTGAAACAGCTTGGAGAGACAGAAAGGTATTTTAAGATTAATAATTCCTTGTTTAAATGAAGTTGCAGTAAAATTGATCATTTAGTTATAGTTCCAATAGATTTTTTTCCCTGAGGATGACCTTAGGGTAGGATTTCAGAAAACATCTCTTACTTGTCCATCATCTTTGACCATGATGTTACTGTTGTGGCGATCACCAATGCCCAGGATAAAGGTGGCAACACAGTAGCCAGCACAAGAACGTGTAAACAGGTCAATAGCTGCATCATACCTATTCCAACAAAAAAGGAGACACTTCCCTTAGATATTCGAATAACACAGACATGCACATTTTTCTTTTGCAAAAGAGCAAAAAAGGACAGGTAAAAAAGACAACAAAACCATAACCATATTGATGTAGTTATGGACATAATCTTGCAGTTGATGAACTTTAGCTATCTTGAAGTTTCAATCAAAAAGAAGCATATGGCCAAGAAAAAGAG